AATGTTACTGTATTTTGATTATATGGTAACATTATAAAAAAGCTACTATATTACTAGGTCTATCGTAACACTTTAAAAATGCTATTGTAGTTCCAATATTAGTAACATTTTATAAAAAAGAGTTACCATTGATATAAAATGTGTTACAAAAAGTTAAAGTGTTACATATAAAAATTGTTATTGTAACATTTTAACATCAAGTGTTACCATAAATAGTCTACAGTAACACTTTAAAGAAAAGTGCTACTGTCCAGTGCTACCGTAGACCATTTTTGTTGTAGTGTTTATTTGTTCATAGAAAATGCTCTTAAAGGCCCTGATAGCTAAAGAGATTTTTTTTTTGCTATCGTTTCTCTTTTTTCCATGGTTAGCTTACGGATGTGGTTGCTTTAGCACTTCGTAGTTGACTATTTGTTTTCATTACTCTTACTAGGTTGTCATTTTGATCTGGTTTTTTGCATGGTGGTGGAGAAAAATGCAAGGAACTTAACCCCCGCGCCCCCCACAAAAAAAAGGAAGCAATTGGCATGAACCCTTTTTTTAATGATTTTTTGAAGATTAAAACTTTGGAAAATCATAAAATATCACATACTGTGCATTTTGGGTCAGGGTTTGTTTTGTTGTGCTTATAAAATCCCTATTTGAATTGTGGTGTATACGTTTGTTCAAGAGATCTTGAACTTTGTGAGGGACGATCTTTTGAAAAGAAGGTTTTTGGTGCACATCAAGGGACGATCTTTCTGAAAGTTGTCCTTTTGATATGGTTTTTTGCATGGTGGTGGAGAAAAATGCAAGGAACCTAACCCAAAAAGAGGAAGCAATTGGGATGAGCTATTTTTTTCAATGATTTTTTGAAGATTAAAACTTTGAAAAATTGTGAAAAAATCACATAGTCAATCATAAACTAGAGAATGAATACAAACTATAGGAATTGGACAAGGTTAGTATAGGCTTTGATATGAATTTGTTAATTTGTCCAGATTATTCAAGTAACAAAAACAAATTGTATTAATCAATAGGCAATGTGTGGAGAAGATGGTACAGACCAAAAAATTAAAGAAGAAGAAGAATTACAGGTATTAGTGGCAAATGTTACTAAACCTAGTGTTGAACATCGTGACCATGACATAGCAACAGGCAAATCAACTTTCAAGAAGACAAATGTAACAGTTTGAAAACAAGAACAAAGTGAACTAAAAAAAGATAGGATTGAACAAAGTACATCTTTTAAGCAAAATTGTCATGGGAATGAAAATAAAAGACAAAAGTTGTGATAAAATGTGTAAGCATTAGTTTGCACGAATGTTATTCATTACCACATTCAATTATAATTTTTTAACATTCTTATATAATTATTTTTATATTGAAACGAAACAAGGTTTAAAAAAAATTATTTTAACAGTACTTTTGGTCAGAAGTAATATATATTTTAAAACATATTATAAACATTGTTGCAAAAGTAATATAACATTCTGATTTGTCTGTTTTGCTTGCAATTGTAATTTCTCCAAGAAAACAGTATTTTCATTTGGAAACCGCAACTTAAATTCGTTAACACAGGCTACTCAAGTTTCCAAGAACATCTAAGTTAGTAAACCACAAGCTTCATTCCTGTCTGCTTTGGCTTGAGCAATAGCATATTCTATTTTAGTATTGGAGTCAATTAATTGTTTTTCCCGTCTTTTAAGAAGACAAACTTCTTCATGAATTTTTTCACAATTTTGTCCAGCAACTTTAACTATCTCCTCATGATCCTTTAATTCAATTATGACTTCTGCATATTTCTTCTGTAGATAGTTGTTTTTAGCTGTATTTTTCCTATTGAATGTCTAGATTTTTTTTCTTTTTCTGCAGTTTAATAATGATAATTGTTAGACCCTCACCAACGTCGCTTCATTTCCAGCAAATAGTACAAATTCTGTTAAGAAAACAAGACAAAAACAATTAGAAAATTATATGATTATCAAAATAATAAAGTGAAACAAATGATATATTTTATATCAGCAAAGTTACACCATCTAGTGTTAGTCTATCTAGATCTGTTGCATGTATATTCTTCAAATTCTTCCCACAATTAGGAACTATATTTACTTCCTTGTCGTTGTTCTCACGCTTTCTTCTCTTTTACAATTGGCTCTCTTCTATATCTTCATCATTTGGTTCAATCGGTGAATATATTTTTTCAGATGTAGATGGTGTAGGATGTGCAGAAACAATCAATTTGATTGGAGAAATTTTACTGCAGCTGTTGCAATTGGACCTGTTTTCACAAATATAATTTTCATTAACAAAATCAAAAACAATAAATTTCTAACAAAAATAAGGTGCAATTATATTAAAATTCATAATACCGCTTTTTGAATTAAAATCTGAGTATTTGCTTAGCATATCATAAATGTCAAAAGTCTATTGTTGTTGAATAAGAAGTTCCAATCTTTTGATTGCAATTTCATTTCCCTTACTGTTGTTGCTTTCATTGTCCCTCTTTTTGAAATCTGACCATCAGTAGGTAATCCACCCCAGCCTTTCTTACAACCCAATAAAAAGTACCTATCATGCCACCCTTGCAACTTATTGCTCAAACCTGTCAACAACACTTTACCCTTCCTACTCTTGATAAAGTAAAAGAGACTATTGGGTCTCTTTTTAATTGCATAAAAATAGTTAAAAATAGAAAACATTGGTTCAATTGTATTCATCAAGCAAATAACTTCAAAAGCCATAACAATTTTCCAAGCATTTGGATGGAGCTAGCTTGGTGCTATGTTATAAGCCATCATTACTTCTTTTACAAATGGAGAGAATGGAGGAACTAAGCCATATTGGAAAAATATTTCAAAAAAGGTAAGAAACCCAGAAGGAGGAATAGTGAATATATAAAACTCAGGCGAATCACAAGGTAGTAAATCATAATCGTTAGAGATATTGTAGTCTTTTCGGTAGTTTAGAACTTCTTCATCAGAAAGGGTGCTACTAATTTCTAAAATAGACATTTTCAAGAAGAAAAATGATATTAAGAACCAGTGGAATAGGAAATAACTTTACTTACCTACAAATTGCTTTTAAAGATGTTGAATGAATCCGCAATACGTAGAACAAGAACAAATACCCTAAATCCCCAAAATTATTTTAAATACATTGCAAGAAACTAAATGGCAGCGTTTTATTGAATTGTAGATTTTACAAATTTTCAAACATTATCATACTTAATAAACTGTGTTTTTTTTTTTTATTTCTGTTCACAAACAAATTGAAATTCAATTTATAGATCTATATGTTTTACTTTTTAAAACTAGGACAATTGTTTTCTTAAATCCTCATTGATGATTGCAATGTTCTTCTCTTAAACCCAAATTAATGATCGTACAAAATGCTTCATATTGCATTTGATTAAGCCCAGGTATTGTAAACATTATGAAATTTTCAACTATATTGTTTGATAATTGTTGTATTGACTGTATGTTAATTACATATTTGATTCTTTAAAGTTTTATTTATGTAATGAATTTAATTATGTCATTAATGAAGTATTGTTAAATAATTGATATATATATTTATCTATTTGGATGTCAAACGATTTATACGTTGTTCCTGTTATTGTAATGTTTTTTTTTTAATTATTGGATATTAATCGATTGATATATTGTATCCGGTCTCTTTGATTTTTTTTCCAGTTGATGCTTCTTAATGTAAACCTATATGTTGTATGCGTTAATTATTTTTGTTATGTAAAGTTAATAGAAAACATTCAAGGTATTTATGTGAATATGAAGTGGTTGATACATTGTAATATTGCAAAAATTGTTCGTTTTTATTGTTATGTGAAATTAATAGAAAACATTCAAAGTATTTATGTTAATATGAAGTGATTAAAACGTTGTACTATTGCAAAAATTAAATGTTTAGTGATTCATACATTGAATTGTTGTAATTAATGTACTTCGTATACATATAAATATATTTATGTAATCAATATTAGATTGATAGATAATTGTTTTTTTTTCTTTTCCTCATTGTTTGGTCTTATTGTATCTTTAGAACAAGATAAAGATTGTTCTTCGTAGCTACAATATATCTGCTGGCAAAGGTAAGGTAATGGTCTTGATTCTTTTAACAATTTAATACTTAAATGCTATATGTATTACTTTTTAAATTTCCAATATATATAACAATTTGTAGATGATTGTTATGTGCTTTTCATTAGTGTCCATGTGTTGTAAATATCTTTTGTTTTTATTTGATGTAGGTATATACAATCAACGAAGATAATTTGAAATTTATTATTGCAATATTTTTCTTTTTACAGGTAATGAAGCTTTTTTTTTTTCTTCAAATTTTTGTATATCATTGTATTATGCAATTTTCTATACTGGTCATAGAATTATGTTGGTTAGGTTATAGGACTGTGATATGTTCACCAATATGTGAAAATATTAAAAAAAACTCGACTACAATTCTTCTATAAAGTTGTAGTAAACCATTTAACGAATTATAATTTTGGTTTTGATTGTAATAGATTTGTTAATTAAAATTTTCAATGTCCATCCATTTATTTGGTGTATTATTACTTTTTGATATGCTGGATGCCGAACAATGTATTGGATCCTTAGAATTGTGTTAAGGTAATACTGACTTATGATTTAAATATAACTAGTGTATATTATTATATCTGTATTATTTGCCGAACAAGAATTTAAATATAACTATATAATAATCATTTATAAATTTATTTTTATAAGTATGCCGAACTATAATACAGAAATATAAAAATGTCATAAGTTGTTGTCGAACCAAATTTTTTGGCAATTCAAAAAGATATGATCTCTGTTTGCTTTCTTTACTGTATTAAATTATTATCAGCATGGGTGTATAATTGTGTTATTAAAAAAATAGAAAGAGTGAATATTAAATTGCTCGAGTCTAATTTTGTTTGTTGATGTGGAAAAGCATAGTGTGGAGACTACTGATGGAGTTTAAGCAAACATACGTTATATTTGGAAATGATAGAAAGTTATCAATTGGAATTTGATTCTGGAAATATAACTGCTATTGAATTGAGAAGAAGAGTGTGCAAGGAAAATAGGAAATTGAGAATGATTGTATTGAAACAACAAAGAGCTGCTAAAACTAAATTCGGTAATAGTATGAATGCCAAAATGTCTGGATTGAAGAGAAAAAGAGGTAATTAATAAATCAATTATTGTTTTCCTATCCCTTCTATAATAGTATGACAATTATACTATTGTTATTTTTAATTTTAGGAAATGCACCAAACAATGAAACAGAGTCTGTGATGGAAACAAATGTAGAGGTATTGAATACTGAAACAAAATTACTGTTGGAAACAACTGTAGACATATCGAATAATGAAATAGAGTCTATGTTGGAAACAAATGTAGATGTATCGAATAATGAAAAAAAAATTCGTGTTGGAAACAAATGTAGGTTTGCAAATTTGCTTAGGCCCTTCTGAAAATAATGATCGTATATACAAAGAAAACAGAAGATACAAAATGTCTACATTAAAAAGAAAGAGAGGTAAGGAAAATTTTGTTGTTATATAATTATGTTCTTTTCATTTTCTTGAGACATCTAACTGATTATATATAAAATTTTGCAGGTGCTGATTATTATGTAAGAAAAAAATCTAAATTAAAGCTTACTCCTTCAGAAATATGTAACAGTAAGTTATAAACTTTAGACATATATTTACATAACAAATTATTACAGTTCGTTCATTTGTGTAACAATATCATTATCTTTGATATTTGTTTAAAATTAGTGTTATTTCTATTGTTAGTGGATTTGGAACTGTTGAACTTTGGTGTACCATCTTATCATTGCAAGCATTATGGGGCAATCATGTGGTATGAAGAGGATACAATTAAGAGCAGACATATAACTTCTCCTGTATTTTCATTATGCTGTATGGATGAGAAAATTGAGTTGCCATTATTGAAAGAACTACCTGAATTGTTGAAAGAATTATTGGATGTAAACAGTGGTTCTAAAGGAAAAATATTCAAAAACAAGATAAGAATATACAACTCGATATTCTCATTTACAATGGGAGGGAACATTGATACTGATATCAATAGAAATACTAGTCCATATGTTTTCAAACTTTGTGGGCAAAATTATCATCATATAGGGACATTGCTTCCACCTGCTGGAAAGAAACCTACTTTTGCACAGCTTTACATCTATGATACACAATGTGAAATCAGTCACAGATTGAATTGTATGAGAAGGCAAGCAACTTATAATACTGTTGACAAGGAATTGATTGGAGAATTGAAATTGATGCTTGATAGGAACAATGAGTTGGTTAAAATTTTTCGCTTTTCCAGGGATTATATTGAATCAAATAATGTTACTGAACTCCACTGGCAGTTAAAAATCCATAGAGAAAAAGATGGAAGACAGTATAATCTGCCAACTGCATATGAAATTGCAAAAATAATTGTTGGTGATGTTGGACTATCGGATGTTGGAAATGATATTGTTTATCATTCAAAGAATGGTTTACAGAGAATTACTAACTTGCATCCCAGTTTTATGGCATTAAGTTATCCAATTTTGTTTCCATATGGAGAGGATGGATATAGGGTTGGCATTAAGCATAGAGAATCAGGTGACAGAGAATCTTCTACAAGGCATAAACTCATTATGAGATATTTTTATCCCTTTCGATTGCAGTATAGATTGAATGAAGGACACACTTTGATGAAATCTGGTAGACTATTGCAACAATACATTGTAGATGCATATATGGCTATTGAAGAGGAAAGGTTTTGTTGGATAAGAAAAAAAAAAATTAAAAAGTGATTTGTATAGCGGATTGATGGATGCTATTTCAAAAGGGGATGTTAATGTAGAGAATATAGGCAAGTGTACACTGCTACTGTCCTCTCACACTGGCAGCCTATGATATTGTATTCAAAATTATCAAGATGCTATGGCAATTTGTAGATATCATGGATATCCTGATTTTTTTTTGCACTTACACGTAATCCAAAAGTGGCCAGAGATACAATATATACAAAATGCTATTGGTCAATGTGATGAAGAAGGAAGAGTAACTGCTGTTTGTAGAGTGTTCGAGATGAAACTGCTTGAATTGATGAAAGAGATAAAGAATGATAAATATTTTGGTGAAATTATGGCAAGTAAGTTATGTTATAAGTAATATGTATATTTTCTTTTAAACTATTTGTTCATTTATGATTTATAATATGAAATTTACAATATATCAACAATTACTAACAATATTCTATTATATTTTCTAGTTATTTATACTATTGTATTCCAGACAAGAGGTCTCCCACATGCACATGTGTTGATTTTCCTCTGCGCTGAATATAAGAATCCTTCACCATCGAAGATTGATAGCATGAGATATGTTGAATTACCAGATAAAGAAAAAGATCCTCTTGCTTATGCAGCTGTTGGAAACTACAATATCCATGGTCCGTGTGGAAATTTAAATACAAGTTCACCTTGCATGGGGAACGGGAAATGTAAAAAACATTTTCCAAAGAAATTTGTGAATGCAACAACTGTAGATGATAAAGGGTACCTAGCATATAGAAGGCGAGATACTGGAGCATTTATTGAGAAAAATAGGTGTCAAAATTGACAACCGTTTTGTTGTTCCCTATAATAGAAATATGTCGGTTAAGTACGATGGTCACATAAACATTGAGCTCGGTAACCATCATAGATCAACCAAGTATCTATTCAAGTACGTCAACAAAGGACCCGACAGAATCAAAGTTTCTATGGAGGTTGCAAAAATAAACAAAGGGAGTTCTGGATGCACAAATATTACAGAGGAGGATGAAATTAAAGCTTTTGTCGATTGTAGGTATGTATATAGAAGAATAAAATATAATATATTTGTTGTTATTAGTTATAACTATAATATTGAAAAATGCAATTACTACATTTACAGATATATTTCCGCCATGGAGGCTTGCTAGAGAATATATCAATTTGATATGTACTATAGAGAACCAGCCGTTGAAAGATTTCCTTTCCACTTGGAGAATGAACAAACAATTGTCTTTGATCCAAATCAGAATTTAGTCAAATATTTGGAAAGCAATGTTGTTACTTAGACAAAATTAACAGAGTGGAACAATATGAAGAAGTGAGATCATTGACTTATTTTGACTTCCCAACAGAATGGGTTTGGAATGACAAGAAAGGAGATGGAGTCAACGGGAAGGTGGAAGATGCATTGGCAGAATTTACTTTGCATTTCCAGGCAGCGGTGAAAAATATTATCTGCGGATGTTGTTAAATTTGGTTGGAGGAGTAACATCATTTGAAAATATCAGAACTGTTAATGGAAGGATATATCCAACATTCAAAGATGCATGTTATGCATTAGGCTTACTAGATGATGATAGAAAATGGAATGATTGCTTGGCTGAAGCATCAATATGGGCTACTGGAACACAGTTACGACAACTATTTGTAACAATTCTTTTATTTAATGAAGTCGTAAACCCATCAGAATTGTGGCAAACAAATGTAGATTGACTATCTAAAGACATCACATATAATCTTAGGAAAAAAAACAGGAATGAGAACGATGAGATACAATACGGAGTAGTTACACAATCATGCATTGACAAAGATTGAAGACTTCACTAAAAAAAAGAGGGCAACAATGGCTGATTTTCATGGATTGCCAATTCCATATCGCACTGAATTTGAAAATACGCAGAATAAGTTGATTACTGAGGAGTTGAATTACGATATTGACAGAAAAAAATCCTGCACGATGATTTATACAATGGTCTAAACAATGGGCAAAGAGACATTTACAATTCAATTTATAATGAAAGAGCAACACCCTTTTTTGTTTACGGGCATGGTGGAACAGGCAAAACATTCCCATGGTCAACAATAATAGCAAAATTGCGGTCTAAAGGTAAAATTGTTCTCGCTATTGTGACGTTAGGTATTGCTGCATTGCTGTTACCAGGAGGAAGAACAACTCATTCATGTTTCAGGATACCTTTGGATGTAACTAAAGAGAGTACATGTGATATTAAGAAAAGAACGCAATTGGCAAAACTAATTTTGACAACATATTTGATAATTTGGGATGAAGCACTGATGGCAAATAGGTATTGGCACTTGATAGATCTTTGAGGGACATTTTGTTTGATAAAGATCCGTCAAATGTTAATAGAATATTTGGAGGCATAACTGTTGCACTAGGTGGAGACTTCAGATAGATTTTACCAGTTATACCAAAGGGGACAAATATATGATATTATGCAAGCATGTTTATCTACATCTGCCCTTTAGGAATATGTCACCGTGTTGAAGCTAACAAAAAATATTAGATTGAAAAAGAATTCCCAAAGCGATGCAGAATTGGATGAGTTGACTACTCTTGACAGATGGTTACTGCAAATTGGTGAAGGAACATGACAGGAATATCAGAAGATGAAAGCTTTATAGAAATTCCTAAAGATTTGAAACTTTCTCACCACAGAAATCCAAAAGAAAGAATTGTGAATGTTGTTTTCCCGAATCTATCTACTGAGATAGGCAATGTTGATTATATCAGAGAAAGGGCAATATTGATAGCCAGAAATGATACAGCACATGAATTGAACGACTACATTATTAAAAAATTGCAATCAGAATCGAAGACCTATTACAGTTCAGACAACACTTGCAAAGCAGCAGGGACTTCAAATGATTGTGACATTCTATATCCAACAGAATTCTTTAACTCTTTGATGTGCTATGGTATGCCAAAACATGAATTGCAATTAAAAATTGGAGTTCCAATTATGTTGCTACGAAATCTAAATCAATCAGATGACCTTTGCAATGGGACGAGATTGATTGTGACTCATCTAGGGAAGTAGTGCATATAAGCAACAATTATTACAGGATCAAATAGAATAACAATGTCCAATGCAGATATGAAATGGCCTTTCAGACTGAAGAGAAGGCAATTACCAATTGCAGTTAGCTTCTGCATGACTTAAACAAAAGTCAGGGTCAATCACTCAAAACAGTGGGATTGTACGTAAAACACCAAGTATTTACCCATGGACAGTTATATGTTGCCCTATCAAGAGTAACTTCAGGAAAAGGTATCAAGATTTTATTAGTCCAACAATAAGATGAACCAGAAGAAAAGTTGCAAAATATTGTTTTCAAAGAAATGTTTTATAGGATAGAAAATTTGATATGATACTGATTTCGTAACAATGCAAAGTTTCAAATACAAAATATTTGTCAAATATTTCACAGCACCATTATATTGTTTCATTATTTGTACAAGTAATATTGCATGGTGTACATACATTTTCAGTAGCATTATCATTAGTATAAACTTCATTAGAAGGATTCTACCTTTTCTTCAACACAACTTTTTCCAAAATTTCAGAGTCTTCATTCAAAAATTTTGACTTGAAAGCATCTACACAAGCTTTACTGGCAGATGTAAACATGTTTGCCACGAAATCTTTAGCTTCATTCTTCTCTTTCTCAGCTTTGACAACCAAAGATTGGATTTTTCTATTCTCATTACACAATTCGTTCAATCTTTTTATCACAACTTCCTTTTCTTTGTGTTGATTTTCAATAGATTGTTTAGCAAATTTAAATGCTTCGTGAAGACGTTTCAAGTCATCATCAACTTTTCTACCCTCTCTTTCAAAACCTTTCTCACTTCTTCTAATTTTTGTTTGTCAGAATTCAGAACTTCGATTTCTTTTTGCAATTTTGAAATAACATTCTCCGCTGCCAGCCAACGCTCCCGAGCTTCTTGCCAAAGTTCAAAACCTTATTGCAGAAATACAAGGGAAGAAGATAAAATCTCATTGAGACACGTTTAAAAAAAGTACAAACTTAACTGATCATTAAATTGTTCCAAAAAAATAATACCTAATTACCAACAAAAGATATCTTATCATCTAATTCTTCCGTCGCCAGTGATCTATATTTCCTCTCATTCTTTATATTCTCACTCTCTAACTGAGATGTTTTTTGTCGCTTTATAAACCTACATAATGGAACCTCTTTAGTTGCATCATCTTTCTCTTTAATAACTTCAACATGACATGAATCAGAAGGGGATACAATAGGATTCGGTACTAATATAGATGAAACAAAATTTTGTAATTGATTTATCAACTTTATTGCTGGTCTTGTATTAGATGCTGATTTGGCCTTGACTTTATCTATAAACTTTAGCAATTTTTCAGAAGCCATATCTAAAATTTAAAAGCGCACTTCTTGACTTATAAAAAAAAAAGAACAATAGAATCATCAGTCAACCTAAAAAAACAATATTTCCAAACTGCCTAAAATCGTTAGCAAAGAAAAATAATAGTATAAAAATTTATTCATACCTTCTTAAAAAATTGCATTAACAAATACTACAACAACCAACAAGACAAATTTCAGAAAATCATGAGTTCAAAGCGATTACAAACCATTCAAATCTGGAAATTCATTACTAATTTTAATTTGGATATTCTATTATATAGATTGTGTGTAAATGCATATCCAAATAAACAAAGAAATAAATTTTATCGTTGTAAAGTGGTGCAAATTGATAGGATTTTTGACAAAACTGTTCAACGTTATTAATTTGCTTGAAATTACAATAACAAATCCGATGAAATGGAAACAAAAATAGATACGTTAGGGTTAGAGAGTTTGAATCAGGCTGAAAAAAATACTCTCAAGCAATAAAATGTCCTTAAAAGTAATAAGCATATTAAACAACAACATTTAAACAACATATAAATTTTATCAATCTAAACAACGTCACACATCAAAATAAAATAAACATGATTACCACTAATCAAATATAATAATTAATGAAAAAATATAATATCTTATGAAAATGTTGTCTCATTTTCTTTTTATCTTTCATTACAATAACATTAGATTCAAATTCGAATAAAAACTTAGTGATTTGAAACAAACATTATTTTTATAATAAATAAAAATACCGATTATAATTTAAATATAAATTGTTAACATTTATTTGGTTTTAAATTTGATATAATATCAATGACCATTGTCTTTCACAATTTCCAAATAGTTTTTGCACATTCTTCAATCGACCAGTTTATTAATTATGATACGTCTGTTCGTTTTCTAACTGTTCGGTTATATATATATATAACGATTACTAAAACTGCATCTGTATCATTATATAAATTTTTATTATAGTTTAATTATCTGCTCAAGCTTTGTTCACGTTTTTTAAAATGGTGGATAAAGGCAAGAAGAAAGCAGATGAAAATATTTCAAGTTTCTCAACCAAAAAACATAAAGGTAAGAAACGAATTCATTTGCATTGATAATGTTTCTTTGAATTAAAGTACAAAGAATTTTTTATTTGTAATATTTTGTAAATTGATACAATTCCATGAATTTCTTTTTCTTGTCAGTTGATTCACCGATGAATAAAAAGGACAAATTGAAAAACTTGAAGCAACTTCTGCACAAAGTTCAGACAAATTTGGATGATTTAAATGCGGCAAGACTTGATCTGAACAATGTTACCAATGAAATGGGTAACATCATGGATTCTTGCATGGGCATTGTCTCTGATATAAATAAACGGGAGAGTTTGGCTGCCGAAGA